AAAACAGAGCATTTACTTGAATAAGATGTATATGAGAGAGATAAACCATTGCAAATAGATGTTATACCTTAAAAGATACACACATGCTCCTTTTGTCCAATTGGAGCGGCTTGTGAGTGATAAGTTTGTGGGCCTTTGAGTGGCTGTGTTGATCATTCCAGAGAATTGCTGTGCATGTTGAATAGACCACAACAACGGTGCTATGATGCTGATAAATGGTCAAATCAATATAATCAAAATGAAAAAGGGATAATTGCAACTCTTTCAAAAATTCATTGCCATTTAATCAATTTTTTCAAGTTAAATCATGATGAAAGCACCAATGTGAAGTAAAATATCCCACACCAAGATAGGGATATAAACTTACAAAATTTACAGCTAAATTAGAAGTAACCTTGTAGTATTGATTCATGTCAGTTTCACACATGAAATGCTCTTCAGATTAAATTTGAATTTTATTTAAAATTATGAAAAGTGTTTTACAGTGCAAATTTTGCTTTGTTTAAACATTGAACAAAAAATTTTTTTTTTTGCAAGACTACCCAACTCACCCTCATTATCAATTTATGCAAGAATGGAAAGTCTACATTTTTAATTTCTCATTTAGTTTTATTTTTGATAAAACCTGTTTAAAAAAAAGTAAAATGCTAAGACCACTCATCCCTTAAATTGAGCCTGAGGGGATTTAAAGTTTCAGAGACCAACAAATAGGAGGGAACAAAATTATTTTGCTATTTGTTAAAAATAGCAACAGTGGAAAAGAAATTCTTTATCTACCGCAAAGCAAGTGTTGAGCATCCAAAAAGATTACACTGTATTAATTGCACAATTGTCTGTTTAACAGGATTAATAAACACTACACCCCCAAACCAAGGGCACTTTCGTTTTCTTTTATAGACCAATCAAATCAAAAATGTTGTCTCTTTATAAACATTAAGAGTTTTTTTTTTTTTTTTTTGAATCAGACAACTACTCATTTCAGTAGTTAAAGATAGATGAAATCAAATCAGTGAATAAGTATGAATTTTTTGCAGGACATCAAAAGTCTAAGTGACCAAACTGTTGGTTCTACATCACAAGAATTAGGTTGAGAATAGTTGTCAAGTCAAAGAAATTCAGAGAATTATATTTTTCCCCAAAAAAAAAAAAAAAAAAAAAAATCTGCCTCAGAAAAATTAAACTCAGTTACTTTCAAGTCATAATTTTGCATATTTCAATGTATGCATGCACAAATAGGTAGAAATAGCAGGATGAATCCTAACAGTAAAGAAGTTTTCATGAAGAGCAAGCATAGACTGTTATAATAAAGACATTCACTTTATTCAGTAACGTTAATAGTAATAGCATTAAAGCTTAAAATTGTACAAGTCCTAGAAAATTGATTTGTAATGAAATTTTCTATTATGATTTTCTATTTTATTTGTCAATTGCAATAAGAAGTTTGAAAGAAAAAATTGCAAACAATCTAAAATGCATCAACAAAACCAATGATTGATTATCAACATTCAATTTTATTAATAAAATGACAACGTGCCTCTCCTGGTTGACACTTTAACCTTCATGACCTTCTACTTGAGAATATGAACGCAGGAAAAAAAAAAAAAAAAAAAAAAAAAAAAAAAGATGGAGAAAAGAGGCAGGTGGGGTGTGGGTCAAGGGAATAAGGGTTATTGTCTCTCAGCTTCTAGAACAAGATTTTCATTTTCTTTTAAAAGTCTTTAGGAATTTAGTGTTTTATTTTTTTTTTTAATAATTAGGTCTAAAACCTTTTAAATTTAGAAGATTTTTATATTTTTTGAAAAAAAATAAAAACTGAAAACGTTTAACAAACTGATATCAGAAAAAGTGGGGAGGATAAAAAACTCAAATAAATAAAATTTTAAAAAACTAAAAAATTTTCTTGCACATTTTTTTTCTTTCAAGCGACTGACAGAATCTTGACCAATTGTGTCACTTGCAGATCTTGTGTTGTTAAGAAGAATTCTGTTGGCAGATAGAAGAGAGTACTAAGAAAGACCACCCTCACTAAGTAGGAGGGGGTCCTCGCAAATGATTGTGTCAAGTCTTCTGCTCTGTTTATAATTCGAGTAATAATTAAGGTGTTGGCAGGCAGCTGCTGCTGCTTTTGACTGTATGGACGCGGCTTGGCTGTGATGGTCAAAGGTCAAAGCTTTCATCCTATAGGGATTTGCAGACCAGAGAAAGAAAAAATTTGAAAGAAAAAAAAAAAAAAAAAAAAAAACTGAAAAAAGAAAAAAATTTAGCATTAGGATAGAAAAAAGAGACACATAAAAGAAAAGCATTTTATTAAAGATTTTATAAAAGACAAAAAATTTAAACAGGCAAGTCTTCAATAAAGTAGCTTTATTATCAATTAATGTGAAGAATGTTTTATCATTCACTTTATTAAATGCTAATGTTTAGTGAGAAAAACAGACTAGTTCACCGTAATTTCCGTAATTCACAAGGTACTAATGCAGTAATGTCACAAAGTACTAATGTAAGTTTAATAGAAACCCCAAAACAAGGCAAAATTTATTGATAAAACTGGATAGATACATAGCATTATTATATAATAAAGATTTACAGACTGGATTTTTTTTTCCTTTTCAAATTCATAATACGAAAACAATTTCACAAAGTCAAATCAAATTTTAGAGTCCACTAGACCACCCATAAACCTATTGAGCTCCATTTAAAAGCAGTTCATGATACAAAATGAGAATGTAACAATATTATCAATTTTATTAGTAATGACATTTCATTTTAATTTGTATTTGCAATAAAAATTATTGCAGTTATTACTCACATTATACAATATCACTTAGACCAAACAATAATTAATAAATGTAAAGGTTTTCAGGATTTGTGAAAAAAAAAAAAAAAAAAAAAAAAGATGTAATCCCTGATAAACATAATATATGGGAGGAAAAAAAAAAAAAAAAAAAAAAAAACTTTTAGCATTAAAGTATTAGTGAAATTGTTCAATTCAATGATAGATGATAATTTATCAAACAACAGACTTTCAGAATGAACAGTAGATTAACAGAATGACATTGGCCTATCATTATTCCAGCACTAAAACCTATTTTTAATTTGAAACATTCCTTTAATGTAAACATTGCCCTGCAGGAAAAAAAGTTTAATTTTTTTTTGTTTTTTTTAGAATGGAATTACAAACTGATATTACACTAAAGGCCTTTCCATTCAAGTAATAACTCCGAGAATTTACCATATTATGATTGTGAAAAGTATAAAATAAAAACAAAAACCAGTAATTGTTTAGGAATATTCAGATGTATTGAAAAAGTATGGAAGCCTCCTTTTTGAGCACTTAGTTTCATTTTCTTTTTCCCTACGTATTTTTTTTTTCAAAATTTTTTAATTATATATACTCGTTTCTTCCTCACAATTTATTTCAAAATATGTAATGTAATAACTTCAAATAAGCATGCATCTATTTATATATTATCAAGTTATGTGACAATTTTCCAGCCATACAGTTGTTTTACAATGACATACCCACATGTCCTCTTCACCTATCTAGTTGCCAAACATCCAAGATTTGTTTAATAGAAATAATTAAATATGCATAAAATATTTGTGCAATTCATTACCTTAAAAAAAAAAAAAAAAAAAAAAAAAAAATATTGTTATAATACATTGTTTATTTTCCACACATAATAGTTGGAATATGTTTATATAATAAGTGCTTGTTTATATATGCTGATAGATATAAGAGTGTATAGAAAACAAATATTGAATTTCCTATGAAAAACGTTATAACAACAAAAAGAACCCCTTGTCTAATTTTAATGAAAGTTGGCACTGCACTTGAGTTACAATATGCTCCTAAATTGGTTAGGAGTATTATGTATTGCTTAAGCTATATATTGGAACAAAAACATGTACATATAAGATTACTTTTAGTATTATAGATTGTGTAGGTGGTATAACTTAAATGGAAACTGGCAGGCTGAATTCAGGTTGTGGCTGAAGCTGTTGTATTCACTTCTCATGGATGTCCCCAGGAAAGGCACAAACTCACTTCTCTACCCACCCGACAAATTGAATAGCAGGGTAGACTAAGCCCTCTTGCTTTACTTTATAACCAACCTAAGAGAAAGTTAAAATCTAAGAATTCAAAACTGGATAAAACAATAGAGAACCCCTTTACTATCTCAAGAGATAATAGTGTGTGTGTGCATATATTTATACGAGAAGCTGTAGAGAGCCACATTTACTTGAAAGAGTACAGTAAAAGAAAAAGCAATGGACTTAAAAAAAAAAAAAAAAAAATTTAATCAACATTTCTTATTACTATGCCCTATTTAGTGGACTCCTATGTGAGTAGACATACTTGCTTAAATAATCATAAAGTGAAATTAAAGCATCTAATGACCTAGAGATAATTAGTCTTATTAAAGTTTTTCATATCTGCTAAGTTTATTTTTGTACCTAAAACAAAGTAATTTTTAAGCAATTCATGCCTTTTTTTTTAACTCACCATTATATAAATATAATAAAATAGGATAATTGAGCTTTGCTTTGATATATGACGGCTTCCTGCAGTCCAACAGTAAAGTAAACTGGTTTAAAGTAAACCCAAGATATATATATATATATATATATATATATATATATATATATATATATATATATCTATCTAATATAATTTTTTTTTTTTTTTTTTAAAATAAGAAAAAGCTCATTGCAACCTCCCTTGGTTGGTTTGTAGAAATCTTTTATTCCTAGTTTTTAAGTGGAATCATTTTATATTAGTCCATTCAAAATCCCACAGGATGTCACCAAGTTGTTAGACACATGAACTTTTTGTAAAGTTAAAAATCTAAACAACCCCAGGCAATGTTACAATTCTCATAACAATACTATTTGCATTATTTATCTTGCTTCATAAAATGTTTCCAGACACACTAAAAATTTAGGAAATTAAAAAAAAAAAATACAAAAACAACTTACCTGAATGATAATTTTTTTTTTTAGGAAAGCTTTAATGCTGAAAAAAAAAAAAAAAAAAAAAGATATATATAAGATATATATAAGATTTAAGTAAAATACTATCATATAAACATTAAAACAATGTGGGATATCTGAAAGTGAGCAAAGGTGTGCTAGAATGTTCTCAGGTAGATCAAAGATTATTAGTGGATAGTAGACTTATATTTTACAGTGGAGAGATTTAACTTAAATTACTCATAATTTTTTCTTTGCAAATGCAAAGAAAAAAATCATGATAATCATTAACTTATATCAAGTCAAGCTTTATTAACTGTCCAACATTACAAGCTGATAGAAAAAAGTAATTAAGATACATTACCTTCTATAGCCTCAATTGCAAAATATTGGACATCTCCATCTTCATCATTTTTTAACTGTTCCAAAGTTGGTTTCAACTGAGATTGAATAGTACTATAAATAAAAACAGCAGCAATTAGTTTGCAACAGACAATTTTTCTTACATAAAATTGCTTTAAAGTTAATCATTTGAGTGTAAAGGAAATTCATACAAATTAAATTAAAAGTGCTGATTATTGATAATACCTTGAGATATGCAATTGATTACAGTGAAATATTAGTTTAAAAAAAAAAAAAAAAAAAAAAAAAGACTAACTTTAAAAAGCCAAAAGATGCAAAAGTGATTTAATTCAGTCCTTAAAAACAGTTTTTGCAATATCAAGCTGGCAATGGACATGACTTGCATTGGAAAATTAAGCATTCTATTATGTTATTAAACAAAAAAAAAAAAAAAAAAAAAAAAAAGGTTGGGGGGGGAGGCGGTGGTGAATATTTCTCTTATAAATACAAGTTTAAGCAGCTATTTAGCATTTAATGTTTGTAAATCACTTATGAAATATTTCTCATTTTATTCCTGATATTCTATTATATTAAGTTTTAAAATTCAGCATTTCCTCAGTTACAATTAAACAAATAAAAAAGATTAGGAATGTAATATAATTTTATAAAATCAATAGAAAAGAGTATTGAGATTAGAAAGAAAGATTTTTTGTAATCTTATAGTAGAAATAGAACATGAAGCTTCTGAGATGGGATTCTTCATAAAAAGACCTGAAAAAAAAAAAAAAAAAAAAAACCTTACTTTTGGTCAAACATTGGACCTAACTTCTGCACAGTCTTTGCAACATTGAATCTGACATTTGCCACAGGGTCAGAGGCCATACCCAAAATAGTGGGAAGCATTAACTTTATGGTGGTTTCAGCACCACAAGCATCAGCCAACAGCTATAAAAAAAAAAAAAAAAAAAAAAAAAAAAAAAAAAAAAAAAAAAAAAGAAAAAGTCACATGAAACTCATTTCAGACAAGGTCATTTAGGCAGTCAACATCTAGATACTTTAGACACCTTCCAAAGAACATGCAAATCTAAGAGAAAATTAATCTTGGTTCACAGATTCCATTTTCTATACTTCCAATGTCAAGATTTTGTTCAAGGCCTAATCCCCCACTCTTCACAGAATTCCTTAGTCAGAGGACTTTTCAATGACCGTCTGTGTTTGTATATACCCCCCACCCCGGAAATCAAATGCTGGTCTTAACAGTCATCTTAGGAGACTATGGATGCTGAAACATGGTGGTATACTGTACTCTCATTCATATATAAAAAAATCAATGATTTTTTTTTTTTTTTAAACTAAAAAGGAAAATCTACACAGGAAAAATTTAAGATTTTTATAAACAAGAAATTGCAAATTATTAAAAATCAATAAAACCCTTCTACAATTATTTTGTTTTTATTTTTTTTTTCAAGTAAAAGTGATAAGGAAATACTCACATTGATACAAAAGAGACAAGTCATTCTGTGCAAATAGTTCTGATCTCGTGACATATACAGCACTTTAGGAATCACAGTCTTCTGGGCCCATTCAACACCAAATTTTTCAACAAGCTTCTTTAAATTTAAAGTAGCAGCTTCCCGAATAGCATATACTGGAAATAAGAGAACAAAATGTTTAGTAGAAGCTGGACAAAAAAAATTTAAGAGAATGGGTTGCTCTTGTTTTAGAAGTAAAACAAATGTTATGGCTGTTATTCAAGACTAACTAAAGAGAAAGACAGGCATTTGAGCCACCAATTATAATACAAATACATTACATCCAGAATTTTTTTGTGTTTTATATATATATATATATAAATAAAAGAAAAAAGCAAAGGCATTTAATCTGCAGTACTTAATGATATAACAATTAAACAGCCCAATATAAGTATATTCATATGATCAAATTTTAATTAGTCATTTGCTGATATTCACTGCTGATTTTGTTATACTGGCAGTTAGGAAATAGATTTTGGAGAAAAAAAAAACAAAAAAAAAAACACAAACTACCTCTTGTTTAATGATTTATACATAAAATTTAACAAAGTTAAAAAACAAAAACACAAACATGTTAGAGCTTCCCTACTTTTTTTTTTTTTTAAAAAGTAATGCAAGAAAGGTGAAAAGAAAGTTTCAGTTATTACTGTGTAAGGAAACACTATTTGGATGGAGGCTGATACACAAAATTCGATAAACTTTATACAGATATAACCTCAGTATTCAGTTGAATCTATAAGGTGTTCCAAAAGTCACAATTGGCAGAAAACACACTTGTGAAATAGCAACCAAAGAAAATATGCATAACATTTTCCATAATGCAACCAATAAAATTTCTTCATACAATGTCACATACAAAAACATGATTCCATTTGGTAAATAAATATATAATTTACAAGGTCATCAATGGTAATGCAAATTTTGGAATACCTTGTATATACTT